CGTCTAGATTGGCCACAGACGCTTTTCCGCAAAAAGTGCTTTTGTGGAAAAGCGTCCTGCCAATCTAGTCGCTCTTTTCCGAAAATGCTTTTAATGGAAAACTTTTCCGTTAAAATTATTTCCAGAAGATCATGTCAGTGTAGACATAGCCTATGATTCTATGGTGCTGGCCTCCTCTGCATCTGTCCCCTGCAAGAGCAATGATGGACCTCTCCAGCCCTGAGTCCACTACTTGGGTGGAGGAAGGGACTGACCCTCCCCTTAGGATGCAGTGCAGATCTGAATAGTAGGGGCAGGTGTGGGGTTCAGTCCCAGAACGGGAACTGTGCTCCCTGGCCGTGGCATAGACCCGGCGGAGCTCCTTGACCTTCATCTGCACCTGCTCCTAGGTGCAGAAGTGGCTGGTGGTCAAGTGCACCTGCTCCTGTGTGCGCTTGGCCCAGGCTGTCAGCCATCCGGCTGTATATCTTGGCCTTCCTACATCTGGGGCAGAGATCCTGGAGGTTTGCCTCTTCGCCCCAGACCTCAGCGAGGGCCAGGATCTCCGCACGAGACCAGGAAGGCCCCTTTTGTCCCCTGGCAGGATCCTGGGAGCCTGCTGCCTGCTTGGCTGGAGCTGTGGAGGGCTCAGATGGAGCACGGGCATGGCTCATGGCAGCAGAGACAGCTGTGCAGGCTGCTGCAATGTGGCAGAGGACCAGCAGGGCTTGCTATCTGCCACAAGCCCTTTTCCCTGTGCCTGCAGCTTTAAGTGCTGGAAGGGAAGGGGAAGTACAGAGTTTTGATGAGTGTAGACAGAGGCAGCAGCAGGGCACCTGTGGGAAGGACTGGAAGCCAATTAACTTGAAATAACTCCAGCCAGCCCTGTCTACACACGCATTATTCTGAAAGAGCTATTTTGGAGTAGGCATTATTCCTAGTAGAATGAGGTTTACAGAGTCTGACATAAGCCATCCATATTTCAAAATTATTTTGAAATAAAGGGCTTACTGTGTAGATGCCCGCAAAGTTATTTTAGAATAACATCTAGTATTCCAAAATAATGCTGCTGAATAGACTTGCCCTAAATGAATGAACATCAACAAGCTGTGCCTCTTCTGAATGGCAGAGTGCCCTCCATTACTGTTAAAATCAGTAGGAGAGAAGACCTACTGATGGGCCCTAACACTTATATTGAACACTCATCTAGTCCTTAGTATAGTCACTTAATGTGAATTCTTTTTTTCAGGATTAAAACCGATATGGAGAAATGATGAAGGTCAATGAACATCTATAAAGAATAACCAAAAACATGGTAGAAAACAGAAGATCTTTCACAAACTCTTTTTTTTGTAGTTGTGTCTTTATAATAACTCTCTGGAACTATATCAAGCTGTCTGATGAATATGAATTTATTGCAAAGTATTCTAGTACCGTACCAGAAGACCATTTTTACTATGAAACTAAGAACCTGCCACCCTCACATGAAAAGAGACGTCAGATTCTATCAGCAGATAACAGAATAAACCATTCCAGTTGGGATGTGGTACACAATACTTCAGACAGTTTAGAACTGTCTAATATCTCAGAGAATTCAATAAACGATTTAATACAATTATTGTCAACATTCAACAAAACCTCAAAAATAAAAAAACTTACTCTGACTAATATTAAAACACCCTGGAAAAGCTTTATTAAATTTCTTCAGATTGTGTGGCAAACATCCATTGAATATTTCAATATCAACAATATAAAACTATTGTCACATATTGAAAAGCAGATCTTCAACTACAGTGATACTTCAATGAAAGCACTGACAATAAAGAATGTTTCCATTGAAATATTCTATTTTTCACAGAATGACCTATACAGCATATTTTCAGAGATGAACACTGAGGCCTTGACAATATCTGATTCAAAGATAATACATATGCTTTGCCCTTCCAAGCCAAGTATATTTCAGGTTTTAAACTTTTCAAACAATGATTTGACAGACATGGTTTTTGAAGACTGTGAGAACTTATTTCTTTTGGAAACACTTATTCTGCAGAAAAATCAATTAAAAAAACTTTCCAAAGTGAGCTCAATGACAAGTAAAATGAAATCACTGAAATATTTGGACATAAGTAGGAATTTATTGTATATTAATGAGAATGGGAACCATTGCAACTGGATTCAAACTCTGGCTAAACTGAATTTGTCCTCAAACAAATTGACAGACTCAGTTTTTGGATGTTTGCCAATCAATGTCCAAATACTTGATCTACAAAATAACCTGATCAGAACTGTCCCCAAAGATGTTGCTGAACTGAAAGCTTTGAAAGAGCTAAATATTGCATTTAACGGGTTAACTGAGCTGCCTGGATGTAATCATTTTAGGGGTCTGGAGTTCCTGAACATAGAAGAGAATTCAATTCTCACGCCATCATCTGACTTCTTCCATAGCTGTCAGAATATCAGAGAGCTAAGAGGAGGACACAATCCATTCCAATGTTCTTGTGAATTACGAGACTTCATTAATTTTGAAAAAAAATCAGGTGGAAGGTTGATTGGCTGGCCAGAATCCTATGTGTGTGAATATCCAGATGGCCTAAAGGGAACCCAGCTAAAGGACTTTCATTTGTCTGAACTATCTTGCAATACAACCCTCTTGCTTATTATAGCTATAGTTGTTACAGTCTTGGTAGTGGCTGTGACATCCTTTCTGTGTATCTATTTTGACATAATGTGGTATTTGAAGATGATGTGGCAGTGGGCACAAACTAAACGCAGGGTTCGCTACACACACCCTGAAGATCTGCAAAACATTTTACAATTTCATGCTTTTATTTCATATAGTGAACGTGATTCCCTCTGGGTGAAGAGTCATTTGATCCCAAACCTGGAGAAGGAAGATGGGTCTGTACAGATCTGTCTGCATGAGAGGAACTTTGTTCCCGGCAAAAGCATTGTTGAGAACATTATAAACTGCATTGAGAAAAGTCACAAATCAATCTTTGTTTTGTCTCCCAATTTTGTTCAGAGTGAATGGTGTCACTATGAGCTTTACTTTGCCCATCACAAATTGTTTAGTGAAAGTTCCAATAGCTTAATCCTCATTTTATTGGAACCAATCCCACAGTATCTGATTCCTGCCCGGTATCACAAGCTGAAAGCTCTCATGGCAAAGAGAACATATTTGGAGTGGCCAAAGGAGAAAAGCAAACATGGACTTTTCTGGTCTAATCTTAAGGCGGCTATTAACATTAACCTGCCAGTATCTGCCAAAGTGGTGTAGAAAAAGACAGAAGTTATTTTCATTTTAATTGTCTTTTTGTCTTTTATGATAATACAATAAACATTTGATTATGAAAATTGTGTCAGAGAGTTGCCTTTATAATGGTAGAAGCCATTTAAAAAAACCTGCTTTTTTTAACTGGTAACCTTAACTGTTTCCATGTAGTTGTTAAATGTAAGGTTGCCAGGTATTCGGTTTTCACCTGGACAGTCTGGTATTTGTGGCCCCTGTCCGGTAAAAAAAACCCAGAAAATATCAGACATGTAAAATGTCCGGTGTCCAGTATTTTCTGTTTTTCTCGGACAGAAGGCAGGCGGGGGCATTATTCCCCTACCATGTCTGGAGGGTTTGGGGGGAATTGGGAGCATGGGGATTTAAAGGTGCAGTGACCTTTTTTTTTTTTTTTTTTTTCTCAACAAGATTGGTGTCTGATATTTTCCTTTTTTTTCCTCAATCAATTTTTTCCCTCACCATGTTCGGGATTTTTTGTGAAAGTATCTGGCAACCCTAGTTAAAGTTGTCTCCTAACTATAGGGGGAAAATGTCATTTTAAAAACTAGGAATCTCCTAAAGATGAAGAATACTTAAAGCTATTAGTGGGGAGCAGATGTGCTATGCATTTAGAATGTGACATTACTGCAATAAAAGGCAGTGCAATTCAGGGTAACCTACTGTTTTAAGAGGAATCATGCAACCAAACATCATGCCTTCATGGCTTTATTGTGACCACACCTGGAATATTGTGTCCGGTTCTGGCCACTACCTTTTCTGAAACATATCAACCAGGTGGGAGGAAATTTGAGCAAGAGAATTGGTCAGCATGCTGGAGGAATTGATTTATGAATAAAACATTGACAGAGCTAAATGTACATAGAGTAGTGAGTAGCCAAATAACTACTTTCTTTCCTGATCAGCTCTTTAATCACCACATCGGGTATATCTTCCAGTTGACAGATAGTGATATTCTTTTGAGGTAGCAACGTGTCAGTCTGTAGATTCATGCACAGTTCATGCACATGACATTTTTATATAGCAGCATGTTCACTCTGAAAGTTCATTCAAGTTGAAATTTTTTCACCGGAAAAGGAAATCTATACTGACTTCCAGCACCCAGTACCTGAAAAGCTTGATAAATGGCATCTGGGAGGTCCTGTCCATTAGTATAGGGGAAAACTCTAAACTTAAATAGTTAAAAATGGCTACTAATTTGGAGAGTCCCTGTTTTTCAGAGCCTGAATGATACTTGAGTATCTCAGGTTGGGCACCCAAAAACCAAGGCTCCAAAAATTACTAGAAATTTCTGAAAATGTACCTCATAAGTTGTGAAACATTCAAAAACAATGTAAGCAAGCCAGAAATTCATCAGATGGTTTAAACGGGTGAGTAACCATTTCTATTACTAAATCTCCATAAAGCTCACTCTGCCAGCAGGAGCATTAGATTTGAGCCCCTGTGGGAAATCTTCCCACAGTATGGCCCTGAGGCTGGAGATCTTGCTTCCTACTTTGGCCCCTGGGCTGCGGTGGGGGCAGAGAGCTTTTCTGGTGTTTGGGCCACAGTGGGAGTGGGGGAAGGAGCAAGCAATTGTTTCCTTATTTCCTTAATTCCACCATTTCTGATACCAAGAAATGTTTGTCCTTTTCACAGAATCCAGTGCAAGCAAGCAATACAATTAGGCTAATAAACTAGATTTACATTACAAAGTGTGCAGTTTGTTCTAGAGCAGTGGTCTCCAACCTTTTAAAGTATGAGATCACTTTTTGAATTTAAGCACAAACCAGGATCTACAGGTAGTGCCCGGGTTACATACAAGATAGGGACTGTAGATTTGTTCTTAAGTTGAATCTGTATGTCAGTCGGAACTGGCGTCCAGATTCAGCCGCTGCTGAAACTGACCGCCAGTTCTGACTTGCATACAGATTCAACTTAAGAACCCAAAGCTTCCCCAAGTCAGCTGCTGCTGAAACTGATCAGCAGCTGATTCCAGAAAGCCTGGGATAGAGCAACTCTGCCTTGGGCTTCCTGTAGTCAGCGCTGGTCAGTTTCAGCAGCGGCTGACTTGGGGACGCCCGGGGCAGAGCAGCTGGGGTGCTGCTGGGTTGGTCCAGTAGTGCCGAGGAGCGAGGAGCGGTGCTACTGGAGCAACCCAGCAGCACCCCAGCTGCTCTGCCCCAGGCGTCCCCAAGTCAGCCGCTGCTGAAACTGACCAGCGCTGACTACAGGAAGCCCAAGGCAGAGTTGCTCTATCCCAGGCTT